AAATGCCTGCTTAGAAGTTCACTTTGAAATTCTGGCAGGTAATGAGAATTCTAGGTTTGACTGCTATTCATCCTTCTATATAGATGGTAATTATTTCTGAATATGCCTGCCGGAAATTAAACAACATGCAAACAAAAGAAACCTTTTCTTAATTGGGAGACTTGCCTACATGGCACAGAGTGTGAAAACAAAAGCATGCCTGCATAATCTTCTAGCTGGCTTCAGCATTGGGTTGACTGATTAAAGAAAAATCCTCTATGAATAGGGTATGGCCTATATAAAAGAAGTTAAAACCTCAAATTTGCTCGCATTTGTTAGCGTCCTCTTTAGCAGCCTTTCTACTCCAGAGATTTCCCTTCTTTCCTTTCAGTGTAAGTTGTTCTCATTAAGCTTTGTGATTACAAACAAGGCTTAGCAGTATTAAATGACTAGATATTTTTATGGCCAAATGGGATTACTTTGATAATTGGCTCTGATCTGTTGCAGAAGTTGTTCTCCTGTACTTGCTGCATTGAGTCTTGTAACATGACAGAAGTACCATCCAAATGACATTTACTAGGTCTTTTGATCCTGGATCTCTTCAGAAGTTTGGTTTCTTTTCAGCTGTAGGCAGCATATCACAGCCCTTCCAGAAATTTTTATTTCTTTCGACATTGTCCATGATGGTGACTTAAAAACTGTGTCATGAAATTGTGATGAAGAACGACAAGGCTTAAAATAGGGACATCACCACACCATTCCATGTGGCCATTTCTTTCCCAGGTCCTCAATCTCAGCCGTCATGTAGCCAGGCCAGATTGTCCTCTTAGGTCAGCACTCTTTACTCAGGGTAACTATTTGTGGCAGATTGAGGTTAAGAGAGGTTAGCAGAAACCTCCAGCCTGAAATTACAGACTGATGGTAGGTATGGTGTCACCCACCAGCAATTATGGCATTTGGATCCATATTCCTTGATTTTGTGTCATGGTCAGCCCCCATCTGCAAATCAGTCCATTGCAACTGCTCACTCACTCAATTTCCCATGGTGGGACGGGAGAGAGAATTAGAAGGGTAAAAGGCCGACAAACTTGGGCTGAGATAAAGACAGTTTGATAGGTAAAGCAAAAGCAAAGCAAAGCAAGGAATTTATTAATCACTTTCCTTGGGCAGGCAGGTATTCAGCCATCCCCAGGACAGCAGGGTTCCATCAAGCCAACAGTGACTTGGGAAGCTAAACACTATCACTTAGAGCGCACATTCCACTATTCCTTCCACCACCCCAGTTTTACGTGCTGAGATATGAGATAGTCAGGGATATTCCTTAGGTCAAGTGGGTCAGCTAACCCAGCTGTGTCCCCTCCTGACTCCTCGTGCACTCCCAGCCTCCTCACTGATGGAGTTGGGTCAGAAGCAGCAAAGGACTTGACTGTGCAAGCCCTGCTCAGCAGTAATGAGAACATTCCTGTAGTATCAGTGCTGTTTCCAACAAAATTCAGACCATAGTCCCATACCAGCTACCATGAAGAAAACTGCCTCTACCCCTGATAAAACAAGCACAGCTTGCAAAGGGAGATCCATGTGATAAAGGGTGTCTGGCCTGGAATAAGTAGATCAGTCAAGCAATCAGAGCAGTCAAAAATGAATAAAAACTAAATAGCTTCTTTTCTCTTGTAGCCACATGTTGTCTTACAGAACAGAAAGGACCAGTGCCAATACAGTCAGTTTGCACAGCAAAACACTTCAAATTAACTCTTGAACTCATAAAGTTCAGATGTTGCTCTGATGATCCTCCTGTTTATTTCTTTGGAAAAACCAGCAAACATCAACTAGTTCTTGGTGCTGTTTATTTAGTTAGGAATTCTGTGGTGATGCATTGAAGTAAGTACTCCAGAGAATGGGAAACTGGGTTCCTTGTGATACTGTGGAATGTGTTAATAAAACTCCGAGATAGACCCAGAAAGCAGATACGTAACAGAAAGCCAGTGTTAATGTCCCTGCAGTCTGACAGGGGAAAAAATATCCTCCTTCACCCCAAATATGCTATTTAATTTTACCCTGAGCAGTACAGCCCACCTAGGCCTTCTTCTTTCAAATGTCTGTTTTTAGTCACAGGATACAACATTTTTTTGTAAGTAAATGTTTATCAAAATTAATCAGAAATGCAGAAGTTATGGAATCTGAAATTATTTATGATAACCATATCCCCAGAAGTGTTCTCTGTAACTCTGAGAAGAGGATGCTCCTGTATTTGGAAATCCTGAAATGGTATATTTGTCAGAAAGTCAGGATTAGCCTGTAACAACAAAACCACCAATGCCAGGGATACTTCAGGCTTTGAAAGCTTTACTTGATTAAAATATAATTGGTAAAGCCTTTTCTGTAATGACTAAAAGATGCCACAGAGTGGTCATAAAACCTTGAATATGTGTGTATGTTTTCAACAGGCATTATTTTGAGTGTAAGAAAAACCATACATTTTTGTAGCAGCCTGACAGGCTGGGGGCTAATGCATGCACAATACTTCTGTGCCTGTGCTCTGATTTATTTGGAGCAGGGCATGTTTATGGCAGTGCTTCTCTTAACTAGCCAGGAGCATAATCCTGCCAAGTTCTGTTGTCAGTCTGTTGGTAAAAATAATGTCAATAGTAATCAGTCACTGCCCAATTTCATCCCTCCTGCCTTCTTTTCTCCCAAGGGTAGCCACTGTCAGGTGATGCACATTGCCAGTTTTGCTCCAGTCTTACAGAAAAAGGATTTTCCCTCACCACTCTCCTTTAGTAGGATGTGACCATTGCCCACACTGCTCTTTTATCTCCTACAGGAAATAATATATTTTTTTTAGAAGTAAGAAAAGTCTACCTTACAAGCATCCAACTGTTTGGATAAATGTCATGCTTAGCCTGACATTTCTTGCTGCTAGTCCCTGGGTAGCCCAGTGAGCAGGGACTGCAGCCCTGAGGGTAATGGGGAGAGACATGTAAAGGTCGTTGTGATTATAGTCAAGGAGATACTTTAAAGCAGAATATGAATATAAAACCTTGTAGAGGCTGGCATGCAAATTAGAATGTAAATAAGGTTGACAAGCTTTCCAGCAAGACATCAAACTGCCAAAGGGCAAATCTGTCTTCTCCAGGCCTTTTCTGCCCTTTGTGAGCACACTACAGCTGTTTCCTCAGCCAGCAACAATGGTAACCTCTAGGGGAAGGAGGAATAGGAGAGTCATAGTGTTTCTTAGCAGCTGTCACATTTGCAATGGTTTCTCTTCAGAGTATTTCATAATCCTTTTTTTCAGGTTACTTGCCTTAGAAATTTAGGTTACGCAAGCACTAGAAATGAATAAACAAAAAGATGTGTATATACATGAACAAGCTTGGACGGCGGTCTTAGAGCTATGAAATTCTTACAAGCTTCATGAAAACAGGGTGATTGTGAGAGGCTATTGCACTTTGTTGGCATTATTAGATAGCAAAGAAATGGAGAAAGATGAGGGGAGAAAAGAGAAATAGAGTCTCTGATACAGATCATTGAATTGTATTTAAACTGTAGGAGAAATTAGAAAAGGTATTATTATTATTATTATTATTACTACTACTATTATCATTATCATTATCATGATTATTACTTTGAGAAGTCTGTTTTAATTCAGTTTGGTTTGGTTTGTTTGGTTTTTTTTAACTAGTGTTTTAATTCTTTCTGCTTTAACATCTGGCAGAAATTCATTTGTGTATATTTAAAAACAGATGTGCATTTAACCAGCACTTGCCTCAGCATTCCTTCCCACCCTTTGAAGGGTGCTGCCCTCTTTTTGCCTTCAGAGCAGCTGCTTGGCATGTCCTGCACAGCTATGCCAGCTGCATGGCAGACCTCTCCAAAGCTGATTTTTGTTTCCCTTTGTCAGTGCATGATGCTTGCTCCCTGTTGGGATGCTTGTAGAGGCCTCCTGTGCCAGCCATCTCCAAACAGGAATGGTTTGCTGCAGTCATAGTGTCTGCTAACATCTAATCACAATCAATTTAAATGCTTGAGTTCCACTGAGAGCTAATAACACATGAAAGTCAAACTAGGCTCATAATTTCAAAGACATATATTTTTTTATAATGAACAGAACTATTATGCCCTGTTGAAAGTTGACTATAAAATATTTTAAAGCTGTATTTGCAGCGTCATTAGTACTTCTTCATATGTGTCTTCTAAGCTTGAAATTGCAAGGTATTTTCAGCTTTCTGTTTACCTTTAAGAAAATAACAAAACTTCATTTGTTGTCCTTTGCAATTTTACACATTTACAATTCCTTTTTTAATACTATTTAAAAACTGAATTATATAAACCAATGTGAATTGCTTAGCTTCCAGAGAGCTTCGCATTACATTTTAGAGAAAAAAGTGGTTGTTTCACTTCCCTGTATTCGCTTTATTGTTTTCTCTCCCAGGTCAGCTTTCCCTCATTTGATTTTCAACTAAGTGACCTTGTGAAAAGGAAAATTAAAATAATGGTAGGAAAATGCACCTAAAATAATCATGGGCCACTCTTCAGATGTAGTTATAGGCACAAATTGGACCCAACAAGCTCAAGGCCTGGCTGAAGTTAGGAAAACAAAAACAAAAACAAACAAACAAACATAAAAACCAAAAACAGTCCCAAAAAACAGATTCATATATAAAAAGGAGACGTTTACATGGTTCTCAAACAGTTCATAACCCTGCCAGATCTGCAGTGGGTAGGACACTGAAGGCTCTGAGACACAGACAAAAGAGAAATGATGCTGAAGAGGAGGAGAAAGCAGTATGTACTCTTTAGAAACTGTTTAACAGGTAATTCGTGAGGAATGGTGGAGAGGTGAGGCAGACAACTGAAAGGAAGCAAGAAATGCAGAGATTAACCCCTCTGGACAGGCAAAGAATGAGGCATGGGGCACACTGACATATGCTGGGAGCTTGCAAAGGGAGAAGAGCTGTTGCTCACCAATCCCTGTGTACTGAGGGCTGTAGGAGGTGCAGGGAGGATGTTTGGCTCTCACTTACCCTTTGGTGAGGTTGCAGATGAGCCCAAGGAGCAGAAAAGGGGGTGGAAGGACTGGAAAACCTGAAACTTTGTGTTTTTCCTTGCTATGCAGAAGCTGGGAAAGCTGTGAAGGAAACCTCTGCCCACTTGTATCCATGTCCTTGTCACAGCTGACTGAGTCCACTGTTACAGTCCCTAAAACAGAGCTAAACTTTAACTCTTGTCCCATCAATAGATGGCAACTGATGGGGCAGTGGGGGCAGACATATAATTTAGTATTACCATTAGGTGCAGTGTTCTGTGATGTGTACTCTAAGGGTGCAAGAGAAAGGGTCAAGAGAGAGAACATCTGGACTTTGATTTGTTGTGTTGAGCAGTCAGGACAAGAAAGGCCTCAGAATCTTGCTGTTACTGGCAGGGAAACTTTGTCCACCAGGCTCCTCTGTATTCAGTGGCAGAGAAAGTTTTCTGGAAGATGGTGGCCCTGAATGGAGCTGTGGAGCTCTTTTTAGGGTTCTTAGAAGAATAACCCCTGAACTCAGCCTTCATGATTTGCCCTGTCATGTGGCCATCTCATGGTAGTGGGTGAGAGGCCAGAGAACAAGAAGGGGTCCAGGAATGTGCTTAGATTGTCAGGCTTTTCTCTGTTGCCTTCATGTTACTGTGGTAGCACATGTCTGCAGGAGGATGACCAAAGACAGCAGCTTTGAGCTGAAGGAGGGATGGTTCATAACAACCACTCATATGGGACTGCATCCCTTTGAAGGAAAGCAAACTAAGCAAGGTACAAAAGTTCATTTAACACCAGCTGCAGAAAAGAGAGCAGAAGAGCCCTAATTAGCCATCCTAGCATAGCCAGCCAATGTCCAGAAAGTGCAGTAGTCACAGCTACAAGACAGTTTAGTTCAAGCTGTGAGGCTTAATTTTCTCTATTGCACTGACAGGTGATGACAGTGTTTCTCCAGTCTAAAGCTAACAGGGAACAGAAATTGTCTGTCCAGTGCAAGATGTTTTATTTTAGTGGAAGAATAAAAAGCAGCAAACACAAAAACGACTTGTCTTCTCTCTTCCTGTCCCTTACACTGAACCACTCACTGATTTGGTTTGATTTAAACTATGTTCTCTCTCAGTCCTCCAGGTAGTTTTTTTTATTATTTTCCTATCTTGCCGCAATCTAAGTTGAGAAGAATTCAAGTCCCTCTGAATTATCCTAGTCTCTTGGACTTAAGGTTTCGTGCACAAGAGAACTTTATATTCTTTCTTTTGCTGCTGCAACATGCTTTGCCCTAGAAGTCAAACAAGATGAAAAGGTAACTCATCCTGGTGAATAGTCTGCTCTGAAACCAGCCAGCCCCTTGACCAGGCCAAAGAACCTGCCCAAATCTTCTATCTTACTAATTTATATGTCAACAGCCAGTACATCACTTATCCACTTAGGAGTAAGTCTCACAATACATTTACCCCAAGAAGATGGAAAATTATCGCAATAATTTTATCACAAGTGAAAGCTAAGATGAGTTTCTTGAAGCTTCAGTGCCTTGTGCAAGTCAACAGAAAAATACTGTTCTTTCACAAAATGCCACTGCAGCCAGATTGGTTTGGGCATCACTGATCTTATGTGAATTAGCACAAATTAATTTTCACATTAACCTGCTTAAAGCCATGAACATTGCACTAGGTACAAGGGGATTCAGTTAATTACAATAATAGTACTTTTGTGCTAATTACAGGGACACACAAAAAAGGTTTCTGTAGCAATACTAACCCATTTTATAGCATGTAGGCCATAGGCAGTAATGAGCTTCATCTGTCCCAATTCATATACAGTAATTTTCTTTAAGGTCTCATTTCTGACTCTTGCAGACTTTTTCAAAAGGTTTACCTTTGCAAAACCATCCCTGCTTGCCTATTTAGCTGCATTCCTCTTTTTCATTATTTTTTGTAATTTTACTGTACTGTTAGTCTTTAAATATTTCAGTTTGCCGTAATTTTTTCTTGCATTCATTGTGAATTAGAATAAACAGTCTTAAAAAGCACCAGAAAAGCTTAAGATGAGACATTAGGGAAAAATGCAGCTGCAGAAAGGAGAGTGAACCGTGAGAATAGATTGTTTGAGGTGGCTGATATGTCTCCATCTCTGAGAATCTTTGATAACAAATTTGCAAACATCTGTAAAAAGATCTAATTGTGACTTTGGGCCCCAAAAGACTTTCTGCTCACTCACTGGCAACCTCTTCATCTCCTATTACTTCTGAGAAATCTGGCTCATGCTTCAGTTGCAAGTTTCTGTTGCCTGGCATCCATGTAAGAAAGTCCTGTTTGTCCTTGGAAAATGCTAGGCAGTGCAATTTGATACAGCCCTTTAGCATTGCAGTGTGAGCTAAATCTGCTTCGGAAGGTGCAGTCAATTGTCCCAGCACATACAACATTTAGGGACTTGATCACAAATCCCAGACCATAATACACTCCCAGACGATCTCGCCTGATTCTCTTGTTTGATCTGAGTACATCTCTTTCTTGGAAGAGTCTGTATAGGAAACTTAAATCATTCATCATTGTCAAAAACATTTCTGAAGTGTTTATTGGTTTTGATCATTCCTGTCCAAACTGTCTCCAAAAGCTGTATGGATGTGACATTTTTTAGTGCTAAAAGCTGTTTAATCATAAACATCATAAGCATCATCTTTGGATCATCTTCATCTGCTGCTTTTCCCTACCTGGATCATCCTAAACACTTACAAGCAGTGAAGCAGAAAGTCAGAGAGCTTTGGAGAAACCAGCCTGAGATTAGATAGGTAGATAGATAGATAGATAGATAGATAGATAGATAGATAGATAGATAGATAGATAGACAGACAGACAGATTTATATTAAACTGACTCCTGTAAGGAAATCATTGATAAACTAATAACATAAGGATAACGAAGTATTTACTTACTCCAGAGAACCAACAACTGGTCCTTGGGAAAAGCTGTAGAGGTTGCCATTCTTATTCTGAGATGCTTGTCAGAATCATGAAAGAATATAAGAAGCTTGGATATCAGGTGGGAAGCTTTCAGCGCTTCCATTTTCTATTGATCTATAAGACTTGTCTGTAACGTGGCTCACCAGCACAGCAGGGAGACAGCAGAGATCTGCTTCCTGTAGGAATGACTCTGACATTTTCTTTGTTAACTAAGGTTGGATTGTTTATTTAGCAAAATGGAAATGCATGGGTGAAGTTGTGTTTTTCTCTCTAAATCTGCCATGAGAATCAATGTACAATGGAAAAGAGCAATTTACACAGAGGAACTGTGCTGGGGTAAAAGCCAATTAAGTCAGCTTCAGTCGTGTTCAGCTAGAAGAATAAGTCTACCAATTTGAGGATTGGGTGCTCTGAGTGGCCTTCCAACAGCTGTGAAATGCCAATATGGAACTTACTGTAAGAATGTATTTGAACAGTTTGTGCACAGTATTTTAGGGTTTGGTTTTCTGTAAAAGCAGGACTTGAACTTGATAAAGGAAACCTTTTTCAGTTGTTTTATGCCATAAGGGTGGGTTTTGGTGGTTCTGTGAATGAGGTCAATGATATCAGCAGTAATTGCAAGACATTTACTGGTATTACAGTGCTTCGTCAGACATTAGTCCAGTTTTAAATGATCTGATGCTCAGAGCATTTCTGAGCATCCAGGCCAGAGCTATACCTTCCATTTCTAATTACCAGTACACAACGCACTGCAGAGGACTTAAAATATTCCCTGTAATAAGCTAAGAAGGATACAGGAAGCATGACTTATCCTGAGGTAACATATGTATTTTTCTTGTTTAAATTCATTCAAGCTTGTAATGTGCTGAACCATTCCCTGTTACCTGTTTGTATGAGAAACAGTAATCCCCCTTTAATCAGGAAGCTCTAGCAAACTAAACGATTCTGCAGCTGCTCTCAATATTGCCTCTTAGAAAGGCTCAATACACAAATGGGAATGTTTTTGTCTTTTTTTTTTGTTGTTGTTCAGGATATTTGGGGTTGTTTTAAGGGTTTTGGTTTTTTTTTTTAATGGCAAAATGGATAGTTTTGTTTCCAGTCTTTGCTGAATTCTACTTTTTAATTCAGTAGTGTTCCAGACAACCTTAGGAGATGGCTGAAGATATCCTTGACTGGAAGAGCAGCACAGCTGAGTGTAGGAAAGAGGTAGTAACAGGGAGAGGTAATTTTTACCTGGCAGATTTTGAAATCAAGGAGTGAATCATTTATTAATGGCATTTCCAATGTTAGGAAATGGTATTAATCATAATAGCAAAACAGTTCAGCCTAAAGAAGTATATTCATGTTTATTTTCATAATACTTCTGCCAAGTATTTGGCACAGTATATCTGTTTCTGTTACTGATGTTCCTTCTGTTCTCTGTATTTTTGGTGGTCTGTAAGGCTGTCCTGTTTTATGAATAATTACCTGTGGTACTACTGGTGTTCTTGCTACCGTTTAATTTTCTGCTTTGGCTTATGACGATTTTAAATGATTTGTGAGTTATTTTTTTTTACTGTAAATTACAATTTTTATGCTTATTTATGGAATTAATATAATCACATGAGCTTCCACATCACTCTATTTTCAGCAAGAAACCTTTTTTTTCCAAAAGTCTCTTTTAAGAACCTCTTCTTTATCTCTTCCCACTCTGGGTATATCAGAATTTCGTGAAGTGTAAGTACAAAACTAGCATATGATGTCTTATAGCTGTGAAAGGTTTTGTATAAATTTTCATAGAAGTTCACCTGGGAATTTTGATCCCTGATTAAGCATTGTCTCCTTTGTTTCATTTTTGTCTGAAAATTAGCCAGGTCAGACTGATCTACATTTCATTTTATTTCAAAAAGTTTCTCACGTAATTCCTAGATGGATCCTGTGCCTCCTTAGTCACATTAAGTTGCTGTTGTTTCCGGAGATGACAAAGTGGGATTGTACCTTTTTCCTCTTTTCCCAGCACAGTGTAGTACAAGGTGACATCTTCTGCATACAGCAGTGTTGGGGCAGATGCCATCTGCACCAGTGTGCTCCCAGCTCTATATCCATATATTTGTGTCAGAGTTCCTTCCATTCTGGATCAGTCACACTCAGCCAGGTTAGTGTAAATAGAGTACCCAGGCTAACACCATCCATTTTTATTGAAAGGG